TCGTTATGTGAGTCAGACAAGAGACTGTCGTTGTGTGAGGCAGACAAGAGACTGTCGTTATGTGAGTCAGACAAGAGACTGTCGTTATGTGAGTCAGACAAGACACTGTCGTTATGTGAGGCAGACAAAAGACTGTCGTTATGTGAGTAAGACAACATAGCGTCGTTAAGTGAGTCAGACAAAACACTGTCGTTGTGTGAGGCAGACAAGACACTGTCGTTATGTGAGTCAGAGAAGAGACTGTCGTTATGTGAGTCAGACAAGACACTGTCGTTATGTGAGTCAGACAAAACACTGTCGTTATGTGAGTCAGACAAGGGACTGTCGTTATGTGAGTCAGACAAAACACTGTCGTTATGTGAGTCAGACAAGGGACTGTCGTTATGTGAGTCAGACAAGACACTGTCGTTATGTGAGTCAGAAAAGACACTGTCGTTATGTGAGTCAGACAAAACACTGTCGTTATGTGAGTCAGACAAGGGACTGTCGTTATGTGAGTCAGACAAGAGACTGTCGTTGTGTGAGGCAGACAACGTAGCGTCGTTAAGTGAGTCAGACAAAACACTGTCGTATGTGAGTCAGATAAGAGACTGTCGTTATGTGAGTCAGACAAGGGACTGTCGTTATGTGAGTCAGACAAGACACTGTCGTTATGTGAGTCAGACAAGACACTGTCGTTAGGTGAGTCAAAATAAGGCTGTCGCTATATGAGTAATAGAACAAACTGTCGTTATTTCAGACAGAGAAACGACTGCCATTATTAGAGTCAGACAACAGGATGTTATAATATGTCTCAAAATATCGTTATTTCAGACAACATATGGTTATGTGAGTCACACAAAAGACTTGTCAAGTGATTCAAACAAGAGCACACAAAATGCAGTCAATATGTGACACGTGTTTTCATAAAATATTGATATGCTACTACGTCTAGAGTCTAGGCCTACATCCACTCTTTAATTTTTTAAATGAAAAAAAAAAACAACACCATAGGCTTAGTTGTCCCCGCAATGTTTACACTAAAACCGTCATATCTAGAGAACCGTTTATCCTATAAACATACATTTGGTAACATTTTGCAACATTTAGTCCCCTTAATACAACCCCGTCGTTATTTTGTCATTTTATTTTTTTTAAAAATGTGTGCAACATGTATATGTATATATATATATATATATATATATATATATATATATATATATATATATATATATATATATATGTTACGGTCAAAGCCCGAAGTTGGCCAATGCTAGGATTGGCTGGCCAATCCGCGCATTGGCCAATATCGCCTCCCATAGGTCGGTCAAAGTCCGAAACTTTGCTCGATTTCGGCCTTTGGCCGGCAAATCCGCAGACTGGCCATGGTGGACCGGCCAAAGTCTTTATTAGAAGATCATCTGGCTAGGGACGACCGACCAAAGTCCGAATTAGAAGATCATGAGCAGATTTTGGGTTTTTTTTTAATGCCGTAAGGAACATGAAATTAAGTCTTTATTGATTATTAATTAAAGTAAATGACAGAAACATTCAAATATCATCAATTGTTACAACAAGTTGAACTTTTATGGCATTTAGAATTACATAGCAGCTAGTTACTTTTACACTTGCAGCGATTTGTTTTGCACTTAGTTGTGCAATTGCAGCGAGTGTAGCCTTGGCCCTCAGTCAATAATTGTGAAGATGCGATGGTTCGTAGTGATTTTTCCTCAGTGCCAATTGACGACAATAGGAGCAGTTTTACGTGAAGAATTGAAAACTCACTTCTAGCATACAGTTGTTTTAGAACATCTGGAAAACGGATGCGCACATTATCACCCTCTTCACCATCTTTAAATTTTGAATTTGATGTTTTAAGCATCTTAGCACCTTGAGTTTGCAAGCCAGTATGAGCTGCTGATCTGTGTTCCATGATGTCTTGTTTGTTGTGACACAATCTGCAGGTAATGTTCCCTCCGTACCATTCGTCTGCTTCATTGGGTATTCCACAAATAGCATGGACATCGTTGCCCCAGGATCCAAAAGAATGAGCCGCACTACAATATTTTTCACAAACTATATAGAATCTGTTGGCCACATTATTGTCGCGCAACTTGTCTGGACGTTCCGCCACGGCAGTAGATGTGTTAGCTGAGGATGTCGTTGCATTTATGGCAACCTCCATTTCTTGTTCAATGTTCTCAAGATCTTCCTCAGTAACTATTTTATCGAGAGCCCATATATGGAAATTAAAATGGATTTACATTTTTTTTTCTTTTGACAGCCATCTGCTATGTCTGTCTCATGGTCTGACGGCCCTTTTGATCCATGTCGCCTTGCATATAGAATGCTATACAAACAATAGCTAAACAATAGGTTACTCTCAATGAAAACGCACCCAGAATAATGAAAACGCGATCACAACTTAGTCTAGATAGAACATTGGCCAGGATATCCCGGTCAGTGCGCGCATTGGCCGGCCAATGTATAAAATACGCTGTCAAATTTAAGCGCTTCGGACTTTGGCCAGTGCGCGCATTGGCCGGCCAATGTATGAAATACGATCTTAGTGCTAAGTTCTTCGGGCTTTGGCCAAGAGAGCCGGCCAATGCGCGGATTGGCCGGCCAATCCGCGCTTTGGCCGCACTTCGGGCTTTGACCGTATCATATATATATATATATATATATATATATATATATATATATATATATATATATATATATATATATATAACTTTTATGGTTGGAAACAAACTAAATTATTATATATAAACTAGGCATGCTGCCCAGCTTCGCTTAGGCTTTCGAAAACATTGAGAATTTGAATGCTTAATTAATTCGCCCGAGGGTCGGTCTACGACCTCAGGAGTTATGAAGAGGTTCCTCCGTGGACATTTTTTTTTCGATTTATAGCTCATATAAGGCGCCGGTCAGTCGAGGTCAGTTTTGACCCCATCATCGTAGACTTTTCGGCCAACCGGCCCCCGTGTTCTGTCGCCCCAAGGCAAGATCCTGCCAAATTTGAAGCGCCTGCGGCGCCGGGAAGTGCCCTGTCGGGCACCCGACAACTTTGCTTTATATATTATAGAGATTAGCAAATTGCATAGATAAACAAAGATTTCAATAAAGTAATTAAGGCCTGAAATACTTTAGTATAGAAATGTATTATTTGAATAGATTCTAGATCTAGGTAGGGTCTACATCTGTGTAAGTCTAGTTTTTCCGTAGATCTAGATCATCTAGATCTAGAATCTCTAGATCTAGATTATCTAGAATCTCTAGATCTAGATGATCTAGAATATCTAGATCTAGATGATCTAGAATATCTAGATCTAGAATCCTAATAGAATTTTTTTTTAAGTTTAGCCCGAGCAAAATAAAAAAAATTAAAAACCAAGTATGACTTGGTGTGTGTCAAACCCGCACCACCTGCGTGGTTTTATGTACACTATCATCTCAGCTATTAAGGCATCTTATAAAACTCGGAGAATGAAAGACGTATTATAAAATCTTAACTTACGCGAATATGCCTATTCTTTCAAATTAATTTTTTTATCCCAAATTAGCCAGTTCCAAACAAAGATTTTGTATAAAATAATTAAGTCTTGAAATAGTTTAGTCCTAATATAGAAATTTATTTTTGGAATAGTTCTAGAGTAATTAAAGTCTAAATCTAGATCTTTGTGTCTACGTCTAGTTATTGCGTAGATTTAGATCTAGTCTAGATCTAGAATCTAGAATATCTAGATCTAGAATCCAAATAAATAAAATAAATTTTATGAGTTTAGGCCGGAAAAATTGTATTGTATACTTTTCATAGTGTACGTAGATCTAAATCAAATTTAAATGAAATAGTTCATTTCTTTTTATTCTAAATACGGCAGATGACGTCATTAGTTAATGTATAAGCAATAGTGACGTCACAGTTTTATGCGTTCTTTTTCACATCTATTAATGCTTTTCCGGTTACATAAATAAAATTGTTGTTCTACAATCGAATACGCCTTTATTTTTTATTTTTCTTCTTTAAATAAAATTGTAGTTATACATTTAAAACATCTAACATATTATTTTCAACAAAAGTCCGTATAAAGTTCTCCATATATCGCTGCCGTTTCTGACGTGATGTCCGGCGAAAATATTTTGCGGACAGACAGAGAGAGAGAGAGAGAGAGAGAGAGAGAAGAGCGCACATGGCCTTTTATATATTAGGATGTAACATGTTTAACTTAATGTATGCAGGGTATTATGAAATAGTAATTTTCATTTGAATTAGGTTTTGGTTATTGTCTACACATGCTATTGGTGCAGCAAAAACCAGCTCTGAAATATGTATTAGCATTGGGCTCCTAATGTAACGTTGTAGTTTAAAATAAATGACTTGTTACTTTGTAATACTTTTAAATCTAATAAAGACGAGTTCGATTAGAATTTCTTCAAAAATTCTTAATTAAACATTCTAGAACTTGGTGTTGTTGGCTCACGTTTAAAATTCAGCAGAGCTGGTTATACTCACGAACATAAGTCGACTTGAAACATCGGTACTTAAGTTGTCCGGTTTTCTAACACAAGGCTCTACAGCTGTACACGATCTTCATAGTTTACATATACAAAACTCTTCACTGACGTGTCAAAAAAATTATTTGATTTTCGTCGAGTAAACAATTTTCATTTATGTAGGCGTATGTTAGTATAAATTACAGGAAGATCCCAGAACCATCTATTTACGATATGTTAAATTATGCATGAATGGGTCAGGAATACAGGAAGGACTCGGTAGAAATGTGTGGATGTCGGCAGTTTAAAAGTAATTTGTATGCAATACGTGGTTGAAAATGTCGTCAATCAATAAATTATGTTTCTATACTGGTACTTGCTGATTACGAAACATTGCCGTTACTGAATAAATAAATAAATTGTAAACAGCTCTTGTCATTTGTCCAAAACACATTAATTTACATGATAAAAATGTGAATGTGTATAAAACATACGACGACACAAGCTAATTTTACCACCTTTACCGAAGAACGTATTTTCCAGGGAAAACTTTGTAACTAGATCTATAGTTACAACTGAATTTACACGTTCTTTACTCAAATTTGTTACGTATTCTAATGTACAATAGTATACTTAGCTTTAGTATAGTCTGAACAGCAATGGTATACGAGAATACAAGACGCTGTGCTATAAGTTAACGCTTTGTGTTAGGAAGATAAAATATAAACCAAATATAAGAAGATTATTTTAGCTGCTCGACAAAATAAACGATTCACGAAGATTATACATTTTTTAAATATCTGGTGTATAACATTTACGCAATATGAAATAAATTCTGAAAACCTCATTTAAATGTTTTTTTGAAAAATCGGTTTCCAAGCATCTTGGAGTCAGCTTGGGATACAGTAGTATAAAAGATAACAGTAGAATTAACTAACCAACAGGTTAGATGAAGAATAGTTCTTATAATTATTTAACTCTTTAACGTATATTAAGCTTTAATGTCATCAGATCTGCTTTTCTTAATCAAAGTGAATTTTTTTTTAAATCATATATTTTTAGCTTCTTCAATAAATAAAGATTAGAATATACCTGAATTGCTTCGTGACAAATATAATTACCATAGAAATTTGACTTAGTGGAACCAGATACTATAACCTTTTTCTTACCCAACAGCACGTGTTTTGTACAAAACGTGTTTTGTTGTTACATTATGTCTGTCAGATTGTAAAACTTACACTTCTAATTAAGGTTTGATATTTTCCAATGTAAACGGATTGTAAAAGTTACAATCGTGATTACAGCTTTAAGCTTTAGTTTTTTTTCTTAGTCAGTTTGATTGTGCGACAAGGCACCCTTAATTACGATATCCTATGTTTTATCGTTCTGTGTCAGACTGATTGTAAAACTTACATCCACGGCCACAGTTTTATGTTTTACTATGACAGACTTATTGCAAAAATTACACTTACGACGAACGTTTATGTTTTAGAATGTCATCAGATTGTAAAACTAACACCCATGGTTTCATGTATTAATCTGGCAGATTTGAACCTCAGCACTATGTCTCCTATTTGGATCCTCGTCCTCCTACCAGCCCTAGCAATGGCCGACAGCTTTAGTGATGCCGACAAAAACAACGATACCTTCCTATCAGAGGAAGAAATTTTTAACTACGCCAAGGTTTGTCAAATAACATATACACAATTATTTTGGTATTGATTAAGTTTTTGGCTTGTCAGGTTGTGTTCTACTTTCTTCTACGTTTATTATTCTGGTGTTGGAAAGGATTCCCTCCAACACAACTAAGTATTATGTGTCTACTTTTTTTAATCATATAGGTCTTTGACTTCGGTTTTAGAAAGCTATTTGTTGTGTATTTGCAGCAGTTGTTTGATTTTTTACTTGTTTCTCCTAGAAGAGCGGATGTCCCCAGCTATCGAGCCTCACTTGTCCTGGGGTTCGAGCTCGTACCTTTTCTGTTCACAGCCATGAGGTTTATCGATCCTACCACGCCGACCACTAGTCAAGTTTCTTGTACCTATAACAAAAATATTTCACGTAAAGTTCGTTTTAAACGACTTTAGTGTATTCTGGTCTAGGAATACATTTATAAATTATACCATCATATTTTCAGTGAAAAGGACGACACCAGACTTATTTCCGTGCAAGGCTAGTTAAAATTGAATAGTCCTACACGATACAATTTTATACAGCTATCATATTCGACATGAATAAAGCTCAGCTACAGTAAAAGAAATCTTCCTCTTGCCAATATTCTATTCGCGGTTGCCGTAAGACACTTGCCTGAATGCCATTGGTCCGAAGACCGATTTTCCGAATGGACACTTGCCCGAATGCGAGAACTGCTCGAATGCAATCTATTTTATCGGTCACCGGTAATTTTCCTGGCAGTCCCACACAACATTCTTGCTTCTGCCAGGTGTTTCTCCGCCATGCACTCACAACTAAAATACTTTATCCGGAAAATGAAACAAAAGCAAATATTCTCGTCTACTGTCCATACGATCTAAACCTAAAATAACTTATTAATTGTCTCTGACTTAATCTATCATCAGCCCAGTCGTATATAAATCAACGCTTTGATCCTGAGTTATCATTTTATATTCAACAGAGATGGGATGGGAATAACGACGGCATCCTCTCTCAGTTAGATTTCTATAACATGATGAAGGTCGTGCAGCCCTCATTTGCCAAATTCCACGCGGCCATGTTTAAAGCCTTAGACGTCAACGGCGACTTAAAGCTCACCAATGTTGACAGCGCTGCTGCGTTCAAAAAGATCGACGTCAACAAGAACGGCAAAGCGGAGAAGTCCGAGTTCACTAAGTAAATATTTTTATTTTTTCTTATTGAAATTTAATTAAAAACTGTCAAGTACACACCTTTAGTCAAACGGTTAAATTGTATGACAATGGCAAAAATGGAAAAGCTGAGTTCTATACGTAAAATGTTTTCATTTTCATTTTAAAATTTAAATTACTATTCATCAAGTACTTACAATTGGTGGTAATCTAGTATGTAGAACGTCCATGAATCTACTTGGCTATCGTGGGTTTCTGACTCTTTGAAATGGAAGTAAATTACACATAGTCGTTACTTAGATTTAGATTTTAATATTCTTGGCGTAAATGTATTTCACTTTATTCCTAAAACATTAAGCAATAATATAAATAGTGCAGAGATTTAATTTGTATTCGAGAAATTATAATTTTAAAGTATACAATATAATCTTTAAGAATAAGCACAAAATATGTAACACTTATTTATTCTACATAATTTTGTTTACTATCAGTAGTTTTAAATTGTTTGTTGTGAAAAAGTAAATTGAATGTAAAGCTCCTTTTTTAAACCTAATAGTTCATTAGGTAGATGAAATAGTGTTTACATGTTTCTTGACCTCAGCATAAGAAAGGATGGTATGGTCAGCACTTTGCCCAGCTGATGTTACTCTCGTGAATCAGGTACACGTCTGAGCTGGATGGACTGTGTAACGTCCTGCAAAATAATGTCCAGGTCCGAACTCGTGTGCCTCTGGCTAGCAGTCGAAAGCTCTACCTCCCAACCACGCAGTCCTATACCAAACCCCTTATCCCCAATTTATACCTATACCCCCTCTAATTGTACCGAAACTTAAAATGTTTTTTGTTTTCTTTCCAGATGGGGTTCATTTCTATCACTCGACGCGTTTGCCGTAAGAATTGTCAATTGAAGATTATGTAATTGTTTTCTTTGATGTAAGAATAAAATTACATATTTTCATGAGTATTTGAAAGCAAGAATTTGTAGTTTTTCACTGTATAAATGTTGCGTTCTCGTATATAATACATATAAGCATACATTTGTGTAATCATGTTATTGATTTTGCCCTCAAGTTGGTGTATAATTCCTTTACATCCTTCCAATTTTTTAGAATTAAACGTTCGTTTTAAAAATCAAGGTGAAAAAATTTAAACTCCATATAATTAGTTTGCATATATCTGTCTGATGTAACAAAGCAAATGATGTAATTAATATGATTAGATGCAAATTTATTCAAATATTTACAGTTATTATGTGATTTAGCAACTTAACCCTGTCTCTTTATTTTTCTCCGATTCTTCATCGTAAAGTAAGAAGTAACTCAATACATTTAAAGGAAACTTAGGATTTCAGTCGCAATCAATTTATTTTTCTTGGTTGGAGAGCAGGTATACTGAGATCCCCATTTTAAAGTAACTAAACGAAGCTTAAATGGTACACACAATTTCATCGTAGAGAATTTATCATCGTACATACTTTTAAAATTTTGCTGTGAGATATTTTGTTTCAGATATTTTGTCTGAGATCATTTGTCCGTGATATAATATGTCCTGGTATATTTTGTCCTGGTATCTTTTGTCCGTGAGATCATTTGTCCTGAGATCATTTGTCCTGAGATCATTTATCGGTGAGATATTCTGTCTGAGATATTTTGTCTGAGATCACTTGTCCTGGGATCATTTGTGTTTGTGTTTGTATTTGCGTTTGTTTTTTAATTGTGTTTGCGTTTGTGTTTGAATTTGAATTTGCATTTTGGTTATGTTTGTTTTCTTTTGTGTTTGCTCTTGCGTGTTGCGTTTGTGTTAGCATTTGTGTTTGTGTTGGCGATTTTCGTTTCTTGAATTGTATTTGTGTTTACGTTTGTGTTTGAGATTGCGTTTTCTTTTGCGTTTGCGTTTCCATTTGTAATTGCGTTAGCGTTTGTGCTTGCGCTTACGCTTTCGTTTGTGGTTTTTTGTGTTTGCTTTGTGTTTGAGTTTTAGTGTGTTTGTGTTTGTGTTTGCTTTGGTTCAGTTCATAAGCGGTTAGATTTAAAAAAAAAAAAAACAAATATTCACGGGGCGGAGCACGGGTATGCAGCTAGTACTATATAGTGATGCTTGCCTTAGGTAATGTACACGTTTCTTATATATATATATATATATATATATATATATATATATATATATATATATATATATATATATATATATATATATATATATATATATATATATATAACCAGTGACGTAACTTCCGAAAGTTTCAAGTATCCACCCAACCCCCACATCTCCTTTCACCCCCTCCCTGATAATCATTTCTAAAAGAAACCTTGCTTGTATTGCCATGTTGAACTTTTATTCTCATCTGAACACCAATATGGAAATTAAAATAAACCGGGAGTGATCTCCCTAAACTTTCTCGAATATTCTTATATAAAATAACAGGGGATGGGAACTCGGGCTATAGACATGATTTTTAATCCATTTTAAATACTTAAAGTTTTAAAAATAGAATAAAATCTCGTAGACAAATTAATTGCACACCAAGTGAACGCCCAATAAAAAAGCGCATAATAGTGCGCAATATTATTAGTACTTTTAAAATTTACATTAGTTTTTTGAGAAATCGGAAGTATCGTAAATTACTACTTCCAGTCAACGGAAATTACTCAAAATTTAACAGGAGGTAGAGAATTAGATCTTTTACTTACATGTGAAATTTCATTTATCTATCTGAAATAGTACTCAAATTATAGGCTTTTGAAAAATTCAAAGTAGGAAAAGTACCACTTCCGGTTATCGGAAATCGCTCAAAAGTTGATACGGATCTACGATTTTGATATAATACTTATATATGAAATTTCATCAACCTAGCTGTAATGGTACTCAAGTTATCGTGTTTACACACGGACACACACAGACACACACACACAGACATACGGACAAGATTGCAAAATTATGTTTTTCCGTATCAGTGAGGTGTAAAACGTCGAGATCTGTAAAAATCTCGATTTTTTTTTTTGCACGATTACAATACTTTCTCTATACTTCGTATATACGAGAAAGTAAAAAACTACAATAGGTAAAGCATGTATTGGCACCGCATTAGCAAGGTTAACTCAAAGACAGACATTGACATATGCAACTAAGAAAACATCACAGATAAAAAATGGTTTAGCCTTAAATGGACACGCTACATTAAAAAAGGGCAATATTGAAAAACAACTCCAAATATATTTAACAGAGAGCTTTTATTAGCCTAACATCCTCGGGCAGATGAGGCTCGTTAGCTGGGGACAGCAGCTCTTCTAGGAGAGACAACTCCAAAAGTAAACAACTGCTGCCTTGTAGTTTGTTCTTGGTTGGACAAAGGCTATGGAAGCAAATCCAAAAAAAAGCAGACTGAAATCGGAGTCAATGGCCTCAATGGCGCATAACTAGTTTACACGTAACGCTTAATTTTGTTGGAGGCGTGGTCGAGTCGGCAAAAAATTCATGGTTGATAAATTCGAACAATTTCTCGAGTTCAAACCCACTGGCAGATAAATCTCGATCCCCTTCAACACGTATAATTAAGAACGAAGAAGAAGAAGCCTTACATCGGCACGTTACACTCTTACAGATCTTATCATAGCAGCAGCTGCTAGCATAAGTTAATTGAGCAACTACATGACTACACGACAAAGGTTAGCTTACAATTAGAAAACACACGTCATTCCCCGACAGCCAGATGGACAATTTTGGAATTCTCATGTCATTAGGTATGTCTCAATAAGTAGTAGACTGGCGTTTATGAACTAAATTTTGCTTGCAAGCACGAAATACGGTACGTGTACACGAATATTCAATGTATACAACGATTGTTTTTTAAAATATGCATGTTGCTACCCGATTTCGATCTTCTCTATTTAATAACTTTACCAACATATTTATTTGTTTAATTCATTCTATAAAAATCCTACAATACGTGAAAACTTGGCTATTTAAGCATGAAGAAAACGGGCTTTAATACATTCAGAAAAGAAACTTCTTAATATAGCTTACTTTGAGCTTTGCAAGAAGGTTATTTAGTTTTGTAAGTCTTTCTTACATTATATTCTAACTAGCCGTCCCGGCCAGGCCCTGCTCTGGCTTCTGTGAAAAACCTTTCTGTTAAAGACCAATACCTGTGTGTTTAGTAATCATCATAAACCCGGCATTGCCCACCCAAACCACAACCAACCAAAACCAAAACAACAAAACGCAATTATAACGCTAACACAATTACAAATACAAAGGAAAACAAAAACCTAACAACAAACCCAACCACAACCACAAACACCAATACGAACACAAAGAAAAAACAAACAAACGAAAAAGCAAACGAAAACAAACCAAATCCAAACGCAAAACCAACCACAAACCCAAAGAAGAAAACACAAACGAAAAAGCAAAAGAAAACAAACCAAATCCAAACGCAAAACCAACCACAAACACAAATACAAACACAACCCAAAGAAAAAACACAAACAAAAACGAAAAAAGAAAGAACAAAAACGAACCAAATCAAAACGCAACCACTAACGCAAACCCAACCTAAACACAAAGAAAACACTAACGCGAACATAAACGCAAAGTGCTCACAGTCTAGCCCGGGGCGGAATCGCCTTTTTCAGCTTAATAAACGACTATAGTACCCCAACTTATTCATAGTCTTTTGCACTCACTTTAACGAACGTAGGCGCCAAACCGAACACGGGTGGCCCGGGGCCCCAAATAGCACCCCGTATGGGCGCCAGAGGAAGCTAAGTATATAGGATGTAATAAAAACGTAGCTCATAACTTTGTAAAAAGATTTTTGATGATTTACACCAATGAATAAAAAAACTGATAATCTTAGATTTAATTCTAGACAAAAACAATGGGTTTTTTCAAACACATTTTGGCGCCCCTAGGGTCGGCGCCCGGGGAGATATGTAACCACCAGCCCCCCCCCCCTCGCTACGCCTCTGCGCCCTGGTTCCCCCGTGGGCACCACGGCGCCTACTTTTGTTTAAAAGAATATGCTCTAAATTAAGGACACGATTGGCTACTATAATTATTCATTAAATCGAGTCAGGTGACCCGACGCACTTTGTCCTCCCTGTGAGAATTATGGTGCCCACAATAGTTTCAAAGAGTACCCTTCAACAAGGACACTGTGGTACAATACAGACGATGAATAAAAGATTTAATTGTAATTAAAAACGTGGGTCTCTATGTTATTAAGTGTTTGTTTCTGTATTTAATTTACTGATTGTTTATGAGATATTTTAAGAACAAAATGAAGCCGAAAGAAGTTTTTTTTTTGAAACAAGTTTTAAAAAAAATATATAAAAAATTACTTTGATAAATCTTTATTAAAGAATCAATTAAAGAAACATTAAAATGATAAATATATTTGGGTGATCAATTTACTTAACCGCTGTCTGAGATAAAATTACGTGGACATTTCAACGTGTTTTAATATTTTTTCTTTGACAGCACTCCAGCAATTAACAGAAACTTATCCATTTAGAACATCACAGCTAGAAATTTCTCGTTTTCCCAGTAGTTCTCAGCCTTCACAGGACGGAGCCAACAACGCTGGGATCATGTTTGACATGTTTGACGCGGACCTCAATGGGGAGCTCAGTCTACATGAGTAAGGTGAGTTGGGATGTTCAAAGGTTGATCTTAAGTAATACAGAACAATACTTTCATGATAGATTCTCAGTGAACGTACATTATCTACAAGCTCAAGACCTAATTATATTATAATACAAAAGTTACATACAAAAACGTATATTATATTAATGATGTTTATTAATTATGTGCTTGACAAGTTTCGTACGGCAAAATATTTAAATTTGAAGATTGCTTTTTTCGCTCTAATTGCTTAGATGTTTAGTGCTATGAATGTTCCCATATTCAATTCTAGGTTTAGTAATTTGAGAGACTTAATTATAGATTTAGCAAAAAGGGTATCAACATTTTTGAGAAACATATTTTTAGATTAAGCAAAATAGGTTGGTGTAATTATTACTAAAATTCTAGGATGATAGTAGTGGGGGGGGGGGGGGGGGGGAGTATGCGTGATATATTATGACTACTTCTATTACTAATTATACATTTAATAAACATGTGATGAGGACGGGAACGCTCTTATTTTCCGACGACACTAAAGATATCAACAAGTTGAACTATTTTAAAAGCAAAATACAAATGGTAGCTGCAGTGAGGTAAATTCAATTAGTAAAGAAACAGAAAGTGTTAGTTTCCCCACAAGTTAAAGACAGTTACAAATACTATGGACGTTCCGACCCAAGGTCTTCGTCAGCAAGCAACAGTGTGGTTACATATTAGACAGAAAAGACAAACAGTAACACAATTTTGGACTTAGAGAAAATATAACAGACTGATCTAAAATAGATGCATATTTTATGCACAGTACTATTTAGCACCGGTGCTTATAAAAAAGGGAAAGTCTTGCTTGAATTCATTTTCCTAATAGACGATGCTAAATTACCAGAAGCATTAATGTTTAAACAAATGAAGATTTATTGTTGACAGGTATTAATAATATTAATTTAATATATAGCTGCTGTTTGTAATGTATTAAAGTAAAAGTCTTAGGTTAAAAAGCCAATTGTACTGGTTTATTAATTTTAAAATAATATTTATGATAATATTATTGAGCATTTGTGTATACAGTTCTAGTCTACATTGAATTCCAATAATAAAACTTGACATGTTTTAGCTTATGCTATTTTGAGGATTATATTCCGGATTCAATATCGTTATCAGCCATTAGCCTAGTGTTGCTCCTTTTATCAGAACCAAATATTTAAGCTGAAGTAAAGTACTGCGCAGGCTGCGCCATCAGAGGCAAAATTTATTTATACCAAAAGAGAGAAAAAATAACAACAACTGTTACTGAGTATTGCAAACATTAATTACCTTACACACACACACACACACACACACGCACATGTATATATATATATATATATATATATATATATATATATATATATATATATATATATATATATATATATATATGACATGTAATTAAGACAGCAACATTCGTAGTTAAAACATTGAAAAAAAATCATATTAAAGGCATTGTGTACATAAATATATTATTACTACAGAATATATAATTAAAGTGAGAAGGATTGAATATCTTCCACCCCCTTTCCCACACCCACAATCCCGTGCTTACGAAAAAAAAAAGTAATTTAGAAATTACACATTTCAACTTTCGCCAAATCGAGGTCACTAGCGCCTAATCCCCCCCCCCCCCCTTTCAACGGGAAAAATACTTAAAATAAGCCCTGTAGAACAAACCTTAAATTTTCTTGTTTATGTATCCAATTTCATGAAATGTCTGTTACTCATTTCTCGCAACCTCTATCAGTCATTGTTTTGCAAAATATTTTTTTTTTAAACTTAGTTGAATACAACAAACACACTTGTTGTATGCTGATTACCAATACGTCCTCAATTAACGATTAACGTAAGAATGGAGAAAATTCAAGTGCTGTAAATGTATAGGTAGGTTGTTATCTTGGTTTTCTACTGTCAATGCTTTATAGTTTATGAGTTTATAAACAATCGACGCAATCTGTTACTGAGAGTCATCTCTTATCAATGGAAACACCAAACGATAAATTCTTTATAGTAGAACATTATGGAGAAATGTGTAGCCTATAACAAACTCGAATATCGAATTCATTTGTTTGAACAAAATGCATTATAATTTATGAAAGACCTACGTAATATGTTATTGACAGTCATCTCTTATCAATAGAAACAGAAAGCGATGAATTCTTCTAAGTAGAAAATGCATGGTAACATGTATGTATCATTCTCGAATATCTATTTCATTTGTGTTGAGCCAACCGTTTAAGTTTACTATTTTTATCATGATCAGTACAAAAAAAGACGGTTGTGCTTGTTTCGACAAACTATAGATAAAAGCAAAGCACTCATATTCTCTCACATAATGTCGAGGAAATAAACACTATGCTATATCGTCGTACAGTTACAAAACCAAACCGGGATCCGAACTCAAGCATTGTCAATCGCTCCGCCACTCGTCCACGCGTCCCGCTTAACTGCTGAATGATTGCGGCTAAAGTTTCGTCCGGCAAAATTTTTAAATTTAAAGATTGCTTTTTTTTTCTCTAATTGCTTAGATGTTTAGTGCTATGCATGTTCCCATATTCAATTCTAGGTTTAGTAATTTGAGAGACTTAATTATAGATTAAGCAAAAAGGGTATAACCATTTTTGAGAAACACATTTTTACGTTAAGCAAAATAGGTTGGTGTAATTATTACTAAAATTCTAGGATGATAGTAGTGGGGCGAAAGTATGCGTGATATATTATGACTACTTCTATCACTAACTCTACAACTATACAACTAATAAACATGTGATGAGGGCGGGAACGCTCTTATTTTCCGACGACACTAAAGATATCAACAAGTTGCAGGCTACTGAACGGGTTTTTGAGTCGCATGTGGTAACAGACTCATTTAGAAGGAACTAGACTACCCGTTATCTAGTTAGATAACTGCGGGTTTAGGGGGGTCATCCATAAATGACATCACGTCTGCCAGCACTTTTCATCCCAAAATAACCAGACCCCCACATTCAAAAAGAGGTTTTTTAATATTTTAAAACCTCTACTAAACTCTACTTCACATGCCCAGTGCCGCGCCAAGTCTCAGACATGTTTGTATTTTAAGAAAAAAAAACGATTCCGGCCGAGCATGGCTCTGACCACACTGTCACTTCATATGCTGAGAACATTGAAATAGGTGAACTCTACTTCACCTGCCCTGTGCCCCGCGATGTCCTGATAGTCAACCTTATCATTCCCACATAGGCCTTAAGAAAAAATAATTGAAAACATTGTTGTAAACTATAAATAAATCATTTTATTATTACTAAAGTTATAGTTCTAAACTTTTATAATTAATGTGGTTAATCTACCAATGAATATATCAATAAATTAATTAACGGCTTTAAATTAGTTTGTAATTAACAGTGTGTTTAAGAAAGAACAATATTTACCACCCAAAATCTTTTTTACAGCTCTACACATAATGGAGATTCTCCCCAATAACAAATCAGAAAAACAAACAAAAAAAATGAGTTATTAAACGTCACTATTCAGTCATAGTTAAGCCATTGTTCTAAAACTTTAAAATTAGTGTGGTTAATCTACCTATGAATAAATCAACAAATAAATTAACGTCTTTAAATAAATGTCTGAATAACAGTCTGTCTGCAAACAAAAATTGTTCTCTACCTACTTACTATTTTACAGCCCCCCATATAGAGCAGTTTCATTACAGTACGAAAACTTGAGTTTTAGTAGTATATAGATGAATAAAAAGTGTGTGCTTGTGAGTGTCGGGGGGTTGGGGGGTTGGGGGGATAAAGAATAAAAAAGTTTTTCAAAGAATTGAAAATAATAAAATAAACAATACTGTTTTTTTTTGTAAATTGTGTTTTCGAGATTTTAGGTTTGCAATTAAGGCGGGGTTTGAGGGAGGGGGAAGACATAAAGAATAATAAGCTTTTAAATGAATTGAAAATAAAAAAATAAACTATTTGTAAATGTTTTGTTTCTCAATTTTTGTAGGTTTAAAATTAGGGTGGTAATGTTTTTTTGAACATCAGGGCTAGGGCTAGGGTTAGACCATAGGCCTCGGACATTAACAGTATCATTGCTTTAATTTAAATCAGAGCGAAAGCTGTTAATCATCTGTCGAAATTTTATAAATTAAATGGTTAGGCATTTTTGTTTCGTTAATTTCAGATTTAAACACATTGGGTTTAGCGATTCATTCAACACATATGTGTTAATAGTGTTGGTGTTTTGTCTAAAGCTGCAAGTAACAATTGGTAACTCTAATTTTATTGACTATTTAAATCATATATACGTTTAGAGTATATTTCCTAAAATAATTACTTGCTATATTGACATAATTGAAAACCCGAGTTTATTTATAAATATTTCTTTGCATTGTATTCATGAAAAAAACTATATTATATATTTAATCAAAATTCTCATAAAATATTTAAAGAGCGGTTTAGTTTATGTATATTCCCAAAACTAATTAACTGCTACATATTAACAATATTGAAAATCCGTGTTTTTTATGAATATTCAAATTTTTTTTTTATATCTAGGTTCGACCACAGGTGAAAAAAAAATAAACAGAGGCGGATTTTCATATACTCTACATACTACTAACAATACATGGGATGACGCTGAAGTAATGTATATATATATATATATATATATATATATATATATATATATATATATATATATATATATATATATATATATATATATATCAATTAAATAAAAATTTATTACTTAGAACACACACACATATATATAAAATTATATGTATTTAATTATATATATATTTGTATATATATATATATATATATATATATATATATATATATATATATATATATATATATATATATATATATATATATATATATATATATATATATATATATATATATATATATATATATATGTATATATATATATATATATATATATATATATATATATATATATATATATATATATATATATATTATTTATTTATATATATATATAGTTCTATGTAATGTAGGTGTATTGTAGAGACGTCGTTAATGGTAGATTAGCTAAAATAGCCAACAAGGAAACAGCAGAAGACATTGCTAAAATGTTTTCTCCTCCTTCCAGTGAGTATTTGTATTATTCATGTTTTGAACATACTCTTTATTTTATACAAATCGTGTATTTAACATTAACTGTTATCTAAGTTTTAGTCACACATGTTTAGCTTTATACATATGTATCATGCTAACACTGCACATTAATATTTTAAAGTTCCAGCTTGGATAGGTGCTAACAACATAGCGAGCGGACAATACCAGTGGGCTCAGGACTCCCGGCTTGTAGATGGTATCTTCTGGGCGCCGGGTGAACCGGATTTAGGTGATCCCAACAGTTGCGTTTGTTTGGCCCAATCGGCTCTATTTTACGATGAGCTGTGTACAAGCACACGACCGTTCATATGTCAGAAAATCGGTAAATACAAACTGAGTTTACCTATAATTTGTTTGTAAGAAAGATTTTTATCTGAGATTTGTATGACTTTGAGATCATGTTACCTGAGATAATTTTATTCTTAACTATCCGCTATCGGATAGGCTTTGCTCCTCTCATAGCGATTTTAAATGTAAAAGATACGGGGAACACAAATGTGTGTGTTTAAATAAGAAATAAATAAATAAACAGCAATGCATAAAGCTACGCTTAACTAAAGGTAGGGAAAGTGGCAAGGCGAGGAGACAGGGCATACAGCAAAACAGTACAACTGTATGCAAAGGTCACAGAAACGTACACCATTGTTCATCTGACCCATTCTCTGTTTCATCTAATTTTAAAAAATGATTAAGTAAATATTACTCATGTTATCATACTTATAAAAATAATCGTTTCTCAATATCTCATCTAAATATTTAAAATGATTAAGTAAATATTACTCATGTTGGCATACTTATAAAAATAATCGTTTCTCAATATCTCATCTAAATATTTACAATGCTTAAGTAAATATTACACATGGGGCATACTTGTAAAAATCGTTTCTCTATTTCTCATCTAAATATTTAAAATGATTGAGTAAATAATTAATGTAGGCCTATTTATTTTTAAAAAAATCGTTTCTTTATAGGCCTATATTTTCTTAAAATTTAAATTTATTAAGTAAATAATAAATGTAAACATACTTATAAAAGAATCGTTTCTCTAAATCTCATCTAAATATTTAAAATGATTAAGTAAATAATTAATGTGGGCATACTTATAAAATAATCTTTACTTATAAAATTGTTATTGCCACATCAAGTTCCCACAGCATTTGTTGTAAGCCCTACATGTAGGTTTAACCGCATTCTTACCATAACATAACATAAACAGGCGCTATATCTAGATGCAACGTTGCTGGTTGTGTAGTAGAGCGCTCAATTGTTAGCCCAAATGTTCGGATCTCAATCCCGACACTAGACGGCAAGACAATATTGAATCCACTCAGCTCTGATGGTTACCTGACTCTTCCCCCCTCCACAACCACCTTCATATACTGACATTAAATGCATCTACCCTGTCGGTAGTTAGGTCTAAAATGACACTTTACTTATATTCGACAATACAAAAACCAAATATATAATGTGTTCTAAGCCGGTGTTCATTTAACCAAAAACACTGTTATTTATCCCATATCTACAGGTGAAGATCCGACGACAACTATAGGTAAATGAATCTATACTATACAACATGTTTGTCTGAGGAAATACTCTATTACGTTGTTTGGATCAGATTGGTCAATAAAACTTGTAAATCATCAAAATTCCGACACAAGGCCAGACGAATACTAGACTATTCGACTCTTGTGGTTTAGTCTAAAAAGAATTCGCAAATATTCCATTTCTTTAATATTCTTTTTTACTTTCTCGTATAAGAAGAATGTAGGAACTATTGTAATCGTGAAAAAAACAAATCGAGATTTTTACCAATTTCGACGTTTTACACAATCCTGAGTCGGAAAAACATAGCTTTGCAATTTTGTCCGTATGTCTGTGTGTGTGTGTGTATGTTTGCCTGTAAACACGATAACTTGAGTAGCATTACAGCTAGGTTGATGAAATTTCATATATAACTATTATATAAAATATGTAGTCCTGTGTCACTTTCTAAGCGATAAATGGAAGTGGAACTTATTCTTCTTTCGCTTTTTTAAAAGCCTATAATTTTAGTAATGTTTCATATAGATAAATGACATTTCATATGTAAGTAAAATATCTAATGCTCTGTCTTCTGTCAAATGTTTAATAATTCCCGTTGAACGGAAGTAATTTACGCTATTTTCGATTTCTCAAAAAAAATAATTACTTAAACTTTTTAAAATAGAATAGAATCTCGTATAAAAAAAAGGAGTGCACACCAAGTGAACGCAAAACAAAATGTGTATAATAGTGCGGAATATCATTAGTAATTTATAAATTCACATGCGTTTTAGAGAATCGAAAATAGTAAAAATTACAACCTCCGGTCAGCGGAAATTACTCAAAATTTTATAGAAGACAGAGAATAAGATATTTTACTTACATGTGAAGTTACATTTATCTATCTGAAAAACTACTCAAATATCTAAAAAAACGCTCGAAAGTTGTTACTGATCTACCATTTTGATATAATACTTATATATGAAATTTCATCAACCTAGCTGTAACGGTACTAAATTTATCAAGTTTACAGACACACAGAAACACACATACACATACAGACATACGGACAAGATTTCAAAACTATGTTGTTTTTTTTTTAATCATGGATGTGTAAAACGTCGAGATTTCAAAAAATCACGATATTTTTTTCTAAACGATTACAATACTTTCTTTATTTACGAGAAAATAAAATTTTATTTAAACTTTTTAATGCAATTTTATCCAGTACTTTAAAATGCTATTTAGACTAGAGTTGAATTGCTAAAAACCCGTGCGCACCAAATGAACATAATAATGTGCATATTATAGTGTTGTATACTATTATTGGACAGCCTACTACTTTCAGAAGATTTTAATTAATTCATAGCATATTAATCAAGTATCACAAAAACTTAAGTTTAATGTCATATTGCATTTTCTTCAAGTCATGATCCATTTACCAAATTTGAAACAAATCTGTCCGTTACAAGTGCCCACATTTTTTCTTTCCCCTTTCGATCTATGACGACAGACAGATGGACGACAGACAGAAGAAGAAAGTTAAAAAAAAGCTTGTAAAAAATATAAAACTGTAATATTTTAAATGCGTGGGATGCTTTTTATATTAAAATTTTAGTAGAATCAAGTGAAAATATCACACACTTCGTGATGTAATTCACTGTTACCTTTTAAGAATTTAAGATATGAAAACGTAATCGTAGCTATATATTCTAAAATGTAGAATGCTTAGTCTTTTAAATTATTTATATTAAGATATTTTTAATGACATAATTTTAAATTTTTCAAAATGGAACTTATGCACCGTTATTAATCCACAATCTACCGATAACGAGTCGTTAATTTACTAACTAATTTACAAACGTAACTTTGAGTAAAGTTTGGTAGGGGCCTATATAATCATAAAATCAAACATAAAAGATTGACTTTCAGAAAAAAACACCACAATATAGGGGGAAATCTATTTCAATTTTCCACTGCAGATACTGTGACCAAGGCACATAACTCAAGCCTTAATACCTCTCTAGATACATCTCCAGATACAACGAAGTCGTTACCGATAAGTAATCAAAATTGCATTAGAGTTTATTTTTTGTTTTTTTAATCGCATTGGTAACTAAATATTTGTTGTGGACCTCTCCGAAGGCTCGAGTATGTACGACGTCTAGGAGATAACCCAGCACTGATGGGTAGCTATCCGTAGTTAAGGCGAGTTCACGCGTCTGGGCATGATGCTGACCATAATATTAATTAAAATGCCGTCGTCGAGCATACATGGAAACTCTACTTCACCGGTCCCATCAACATATTTTTGCTTTTTCCTTATTTAACGAATAAGAACCTAAACGTGGCTGATTCAAGGTCTCGCATCACACATTGATATTATTTTGATGCAATATTCTTGTTTCAAAAATATAAAATTAAAACAAGATTTGTTGAAAGCTGGTAGAATTAAAAATTTCGCAAATTTGATATTAATAAGGATGTGACAGGTTTATATATGTATATGCATATATATATATATATATATATATATATATATATATATATATATATATATATATATATATATATATATATATATATATATATATAAACTTAACCTTGAGTAAAGTTTGGTACATTATCATAAAATCAAACATAAAAGATGGGACTTTCAGAAAAAAAAAAACAACTACAATATAGGGGGAACTCTATTTCACTCTTCCACTGCAGATACTGTGACCAAGACACATAACTCAAGCCTTAAAACCTCTCCAGATACATCTACAGATACAACGAAGTCGTTACCGATAGGTAATCAAAATTGGATTAGAGTTTTTTTTTTTTTTAAATCGTATTGGTAACTAAATATTTGTTGTGGGCCTCTCCGAAGGCTCGAGTATGTACGACGTCTACGACATAAGGATGTTACAGGTTTATATATATATATATATATATATATATATATATATATATATATATATATATATATATATATATATATATATATATATATATATTCCTATTTAATTCTTAATAAATGTATTAGCTGTTTCGGTACATTTCAGTCCTGATTCCACCAAATACTGTAAAATGTATTGAGGAACAGCATGAATGTCTTTACAGTAAGTATAAAATGCAATTAATTAATTTTTTTTTCTCTTTCAAAATATATTTTAACAATGATTTTAATTTTTATAAAATTGAATTTTCGTTTTCAAGAATATTATAAATCAAAACATAAAACCTCACTAAAGGGGAAATACACCGAAAAAATATCTGGATTTTTTTGGCTTTAAATAAATTACAATATATAGTGCCTATATATTATAAATTATAATATATGTAATATATGCTCACTATTTTAGTTTTCTAAAACATTTCCTTACAAGTATGTTTTCGTTGGCTTTAGCGAGGTTTAAGAATATTACATATATCATTTATTTGCTGTAATGATTTTATCACTAAATATTATGAAAAGTTAAACAGATCTAATGTGTATTGATAATATGTAGCATACAGAAATCATATATACTATTTAATATACAATTAATTTACGTATAAGTGCCGAAAATGCTTCAACATTTTAAAAAGAGATTACATGTTAATTTAAAAAATAGCAACGAAAATAAAAATTTCCTGATAATAAACTTACGGATTGCGTTGTTTTTTCAAGTTTAAATTTGTGATCTTCGTACTGCTTTGATTTCCAATTTTTTTTTTATTGTTGTATGACGTTATTTGTTCACCAGGAAATATGTTGCAGCAAGCAGCAACAATCTTCCCTCCTTTTTTGAGAGAAACGGAAAATATAACCTGTAGCAAACTGGATTTTATGTCCATTAGTTTTGAAAAGAATGTTCATTTTACATCAATACAAATAGCATTTCAACGCGAAGGTAAAATAATTGTCATTAAAATTATGGTATTTTCTCTATTGTTTATAAGTAATGCTAATCTTTTTACAAGCTTTTATTTAACTCACCTCCTCTGTCGTCAGTCTAGATCGAAAAGCCGGAGCAAATTGCAAACATTTCTACTTGACAGATATGGTTCTTAATTTGTACGTGGGTCAAGACATGAGGACAATGCATCGTGACATTAAAATTGATTTAATTGGATGGCTATATATATATATTTATGAATTAATTAAAATTTTGACCAAATTAGGAGGCAAATCTAGCCAACCACACCACGCGCGTCAACACGTTCAATAGGCGCGCAATGGTTTTTAGTCATGAAATTCTATTGTAAATAAAAACATGTAAAGAACTAAAAACAAGGTAATTAAAAAGTCTAGTGACAATTTTAGCGCAATTTCCTTATGTTATCTAAAAATAGCTCTGTCCTAGCGTAAATCAAGAGCAGAGTTAGTAAAACCATTGGTTAGTTATTAAAACGTTTTTTATTATTTTTTTCAGTATTTTACATGTTTTATTTACAATAGAGTTACATGACTAAAAACCATTGCGCGCCTAACTACCGAACGTGATGGCGCAGCCATTGAACGTGATGGCGCAGTTATTGAACGTGATGACGCGTGTGGTGTGGTTGAATAAACATGCCTACTAATTCGGTCCAAATTTTAATTAATTAAAAAAAAAGTTTGTGACCGAACGAAAGGATATTTTTGAAAACTTTCTCGGCAATATTGTTCTAAATTATGGCAGGAATCGATTGGTAAACGTTTCAAGTCGCTAAGTGGTCTGGTTGTTGAGATATGGGCCAAAAACTGCATTTTTTCGAGGTTTTTTGGCTTTTCCTGGAAATCCATGAAAGAAACCCGGAATGTTTATAGCCTATGTTCATCCTCGTAACTTGCTTAACATATTTGCTTTGGAACTAGTCCTCGATATTGCTTCGTTGAGGAGGAGATACGACTTAAAGCTGCGGACACACATCCATCCATCCATTCCCAGAAAAGACGAGTTAATAAACGCAATTCTCCAGAATGGAAATTGCGCTAAAAATTTCATAAAAAACGTTTTAATAACAAGCTTTTAAGTACTAATGCACTAAAAAGTAGAAAATAAATTACAGACTACTATATAAAT